CCCGATATAAGAGAACAACTCCTTCTTCACTTTCACGATTGTATTTGAGGCGTTCTTTTCCTTGTATCCCAGCGTGATTTTGACGTCCTTCATGTCAACATCACAAGCCTAAATGCAAATTTTTTTTTATCTTGAAAATGTAACTACCTTCTAGAAAATCAGTCGTTTTGAAAATTTAGGTCTAAATAAAAACCCTGAATCTTCCAGTTTTTCAGAGGAAGGCTTATATTTTCGTTCTTTTGTGGTAGAATTAATCCTACAAAAAGTTAATTAATTCTACCACAAAAGAACGAAAATATCAGCCTTATTGTCCACAACCGGTTTTTTTTACATTTGTGGCTACCGTGACTCGAAGAAAGAAAGACAACCTGACGTTCTAAATGCTCTATTCAAAAAAATAAAAAAAAATACCCATTTTTTAGCTCGCGAAGGAAAAAGATGACGCAAATATGTTGTGAGAAAGCTCCCGTCAACTAGGTGCAGCACTTAAAACTTTGAAAATGGATTTCAATAGGTCTTGAACTTGTTCGATGCAAGGGGACCTACAAGGAAGCAAAACTGACGGTAATGCGACAAAATCTGACGAAATTGGACAAGTTTTTGGCGTTTGACCGACGGATTGAAGTAACAAGAAAACTGAGGAATTACGTTCAAAATCAAGAAGCTTACCTGAAAAGCGGCACGAATAGCCGATGAATGAACCAGAGGAGGAAAACCAACGACTTCCATTTTTGCTGCATCATCAGCTGACCGCAATACCTTGACTGGAAAATAATTCTGGTTCATTTCAGAGATCCAGACGGAAACAAAGAAATCTTCCCCGAAAACCCTGTCAAAGGCGTATTTTGCTGATTCTCCATCCGGGAATTCCACCACGGCCCTCCCGATGGGATTATCCAAAGGCCAAAGAAGACGGACTGAACCAACTCCACGCCAGGAAAACTTCTTCTTAATCCCGGGTTCCGAAGGAGAAATCACAATTGAATTTCCGCGTAATTTCTTCAACTTTTCCACATCATTGGGATTTCCGAACTCCACGAATAACGAACTTCCGACATTTTCTTTTTTCGCAGCTCGGAGAACCGCACCGCATTCACTTATAATTTGGAAATCGTCTAGTTCGTCTTCCGGGAGTTCGTATTCGACACAAGTTCCCGGCAAACTTTCAAAATATTTCAAAGCCACCGAATATTCTTTCTGAGCGCGTTTCATGGATATGCAGAAACCCTTAGGAAGGATGCTTAAACGTATCAAATCTCGAGGATTCGTTTGCGGCATCA